AATTTGTTGCCTGAATTTTACCGGTGTTGTGTTATTTAGTGTTAAATTACAGTAACAATAAGACTCATAGTCGTGAGAGATGACGTGTAATAACTAGTACTACTACTACTAACTCACCGTCTGGCTAAACCTATACTATAGTACGAGTTATCTTATTATTAACGTGTTACTATTACTAGCTGTACTATTTCTAAACAAAATTACTATGAGCCAAACAATATAATTTACTATAGTATAGGACTTAGAAATTAAAATATTTTTGTTACTTTAATATTTGTACATTTAAGACTAAGGGGGGGAAAATGCTAGTTTTGTGTACAACTCAGTTATGTTTCGTATTTATGGATGAACATATTCTTGTAGAATCAGAAATAATAAGTAGCTTCATGTGGGTTTAAAAGAAAAAATAACTTTTTACATATACTAGAATACACTAGTTTCGACAGGAAGTTGCCAAGTGTATACCCTATACGACTATACTTGGACAAGGATATTTAAACTTCAAGTTCAAGATAAATTCTAAAACCTTGGAGCTTTTCACTTTAAATTTAACCCACTTATCAGCTTATTTGTATTTGTGTTTTTACAGAACAGTTATCTCTCTCACACACACTTGTTGCTACAGCATGTGTGTAAATCTGTGTTCAGTTTGTTGTTAGTTGCACCAACAGCACTATGTTAATTGCTTTTCTGTATGTATACATATTACTTGACATGATAAAAAAACAACAAAAAAAACTTCCTTTTCTACACAATTAGAAAAATGTAAAACAGGACTTTTTAAAATTGATTTTTAGCTTAAGTAAGTTGCGTGCTAGTCGACTTAATAAAATGTATTTATAAATGTAGGCTTGTGTTCATTTTCTCTAAGCAATCACAACTTGTAGTAGTAATAAAATCTGTAATGTCACAAATTTATAAACAAAAATAAAGAACAGCATATATTGGGTTTATATGAAAAATAATTTAAGCTTATTACATATACTTTGTGACATCTTTGATTAAACGGTAGGTTACTAGCAAATTTATTGTAATGATTTAGACAAAATATTCAAAGATATATTCTAAAATTCTAGGCTATCTGGATTAATTTTTAAAGTTTTGTTTATTTAAATTTTTCTTTTTTTTTAATTAAGTTGAATTGGACCTAACATTAAAAATAAACCTCATATAAACTTTGTTTTAATATTCTTTGGGTTAGGTTAGTACAAATATAGATTTTAAGTATGAAGTACTGTAGTTAAAGCGTTAGTTTAGATATTTTTCTAGTTAGTTTTAAGATAGTTAAGCAATATTTTTCTTTATACTACTTTTAGGGTATTTGATTTTTATTTAGTTTTATTGTAGTATTACATTATTGTTTTGTTTTTAGTAGTTAGATGTAGTAGAAGAAATGTTACAAAGTGAATTGTGTAAAAAAATAATGTATTAAGCTGTCTTTTCAAGATACTTCCAGTAAGTTGGAGTTTCTAGAGTTTGCTTGCTTGTTGATAAAAAGTTGGAGTTTTCTGTGGGAAAATCCTAGAATTATAGGAGTGGAAGAAGCTGGTCAGATGAGTAAATTATAAAAGAAATAGAAAATTTTATACTTAAATTTTGTTTTTGGAAATGACAAGAATTTAAATGCTGACACACTGTACTGTAAAGGATTGATGGAAAGGATTTGGAAGGTAAGAAATAGAGGTGTTTGTAATAGGGGATTCTCTAATTAGGTATATTGATACATGTAGGTGCACTTTACATTTCCATTAATGTTTGTGTGGATAATTCATTAAACTAAATTTAGAATTAGCTTAAATAGATGTTAAGTTTTAAAATTCTATAGATAAGAAAGGTGCATCTAGCTCAGTGGTAGGAACAAAGGAAGATATTCTTTTTCTTATGAAGCGCAAGCATATTAGAGATAATGGTGTTAGAATTGACAGGTATGGAAAGGTATTGGCCAGTTACTTTAGAGATTTAAGGACAAGATTGTTGAGAACTATAGCTCTTTCAGGTATTGGCCAGTTACTTTAGAGATTTAAGGACAAGATTGTTGAGAACTATAGCTCTTTCAGAAGTTCATTTTATAGCTAGTATAGTTTTAAGGTTTCCTTGCCCCATTACTTTGTTTGAAATTATTAGCAAGAATCTGGCATTTTGGGTAAGGGTACTTTGTATATTATTTTGTATCTTGATTTTAAGAAGCCATTTGGTAAAATTTCTCTGAATAAATTGATTAGTACATGTAGTGTGACTAAGTGGTACAAAGCAAAGAGATGTTAGTTTTACTAAGTGGGAATATACAAGTAGTGGGATCCTTTATAGGTCAGTGTTCAAATCTTTGTTTATTATATTTGTGCATGATTTTGAAAGCTTTATGAACATTGGCATTTCCAAATTTGCTAATTATACTACTTTGTTGAGTATGCTTCTCTTATTCCAGCTTTGACAGCTTTCGTGATTAAATTGCACCAAAACATAGGAAATTAATTTTCATGTTGAGAAGTATTAACCCATGCACTTGGGATATGGAAATTTGGGAAGACTTGTAGTACTGATTTGAGAAGATCATTGATTTTATTGGTAAAAAGAAGAGTTACTTGTAATTTTTGATAAACCTTTTGCTGAGTTTAACTTGCAAAATGAGAAAAAGTATTCTTTGTTTTATTTAAAGAAATTTTGAATTTAAGATACAGAAGATTATTGTAGAATTTCACAAACCATTTTTGAGGCCTCTTTTGGAGTACTTGATTATGTGGTTTTTTGTCATCTTACTACTGGGAGGATAACAGAAAGAGTATAAAGATTAGGTTTTACTTTGTTTATGCTAGAAGGATAGAGTTGCAGTGTTGGATTTGTTTTTACTAGGAAATATGAACTGGAATGTTAGGGATAATAGGTTTAAGATTTTGAAGCTTAGGTGAAGATTTGTAGTTTGGCAAAATTATTTTAAGAACAAGAAAAAAGGTGAATTAAGATCATTAGGCCCATTGAGTTTATATCTGAGCCAAAAAATACAACAACTTCAGTATAGCCTTTTATATCCAAATACCTATCCAAAGAAAAATTTCAAATTTCAAAAAAATTGAAATAACAGCACACCACATGATCAGGCAAACTATTCCTTAACTTTTAAACTGTAATCAACAGAATATTTTCAGTTAGTTACAAACTTGTTGAATGGTTTGATAAAGTATGTGCAGTTATATGTACTTTCTGACTGATTTGAAAACAAACCAGTTTACTATTTATTACTTTGCATTTCATAAACATATTACTGTTCTTCATCCGTGCCAAAGCAGTTTTTTTCTGTATATGTGCTTGTATTGACCAGTAATATTTATGCTTTACACATTTAAACTAGATATTAATCTACTATATATGTATTTTAAACTTTTCAAGACATTAAATCATAGCCTAAATTTTAAAGAACATTTCAGTTACAAATGATTTCATTAAAATATTTTGACCAATATTTTCATGTGGAAGGTAGCTAATCAGACTGAAACTTTAAAAATTTTGCAAACATTTTCCATGTTTGATCTATAGTTTGCTGAACCTCAACCATTATTTCAAATTCTGAAAGGCAGAAATATGCAATAATTCATGGAATATTGATCATGTAAAATAAAGACTAAAATTAATATACTTACACCGAATTAATGATTAAAACTTTAATTCAGTTATCTGTTGTGGGCCATCTGATTCAGTTCATACTAATAGTGGAAATTGTGTTTGACAAACATAGTTCATTTTGTAAAACTTCTTCTAATGGACATATATCTTACTTGATTTAACTTATTGTGACTTACTAAAAGCTTTTTCTAAAGTTCCATGTAGTATGTTTGAAAAAATATTTATTGAATATCATATTCTTATATGTAAGAAGCAATAGGAGAGCAACTCATAAATGTTGTCAGTTTTATAGGGGCTAAAATGAATAACATTTTGGTTGTCTGATAAGAACTGTAAACTTTGGAGGTTAAACATGCTCTTCAAACAAATTTTTAGAAACAATTCTTGAATTTTTTTTGTGAATGAATATTAATTTTTGATTAGAACAAGCAACTTGCATAGGTCACCACTAAAAATAAACCCACTAATCAGCTCAGCTAACTAAATATACTGAGGTAGTAGTTTTAAGCTTTAGAAATCTAAGACCCAAATATTCAAAGATAGAATTACTTTTGTTTTATAAATTTGTTTTTTTCTTGATGTGATGCATATTGATAATTTAAGTTTCTTGTATTCAGGTTCAGACTCATTATAGGAAGGACATTAACCATTGTCTAAAATTTGAGCAGTGATTTGTTGTGTTTAAAAATTAGGAAGATCTTGGTTAAACTTAAAAGAATAAGAAAACTTTTATAACCTTGTGTAGTATAAGAGTTGAAAGTGTGGTCAGGCCTTGCTTACAACCCTATATTAAATTTTGACCCTTTTGTTACAGGAAGGAATATTTATGTTGTGGAGAAGGCAGAGACTCGCTACTAGAATGATACTTGGTTTAAGAAATTTAAGTAATCATAAGAGGCTTTAGCCTTGTATTTACATTATAGAAGAAATGAAGGTGTTTTACATTTGGATAAACTACTTTAGAGAGATTTGCTTGAATAATTGAATGATAAGGTTGAAGAGAGGAATTTGAATGTTAGATGTAACAGCTTTAAGCTATGAAAGCCCAGGTTCTGACTTGCTGTTTCATAAATTACTTTTGTTAATTTCTTCTGTGAAATCCTTTTGATGATTAAATAATTTTGTAGTAGTTTTGATGGTTTTTTAATAGAGGGCTAGAGAAGATAATTCCTTTCTACTGATCTTTTATTATATGTTAGATGTTGGTATTTCAAGTTAGTCATATAACAAACATGATTAATTGAACAGACAAGTCTGTTTCTGATATATGTTAATTCAGTAAGTACAGTTATTTCTATGCAATATAGCTAACTAAGCTTTCTTTTACTGTAAATTTTGCTTTATACAAGGATGTATGGATATTTGTTGATATGTTTTTAACTATACAAATAAAATAACTTCATTAAAGATATTTTGTGTTTAGTATGTGCTTAAAAGTAGTTTCTGTAAGAATAAGTGCCACTTAAAATTACAGTTAAAATCTTTACGTAATTAATATGTTACCACTCTTTGTTAGTTTTCTTTGATTGAAATAAAACATATACTTACAGCTTGTATATTTATGTCTCTGTCTGTAACTAAGATTTTCTACCTTGGAACTTACAAGGGTTCTTGGGTTTGCCAGAAGTGTTCTAAAACTCTTTACTTTATTAATTTTCTCATTTTTATGAGTTTGAGAAATACTTCAATTTTGCCCTTTGCTAATGTATGCAGATGATACATATGTGTCATTCATATGAAAATAAATGTTGAACCTTGTGCAAGTACCTTTACTAGTAATCTCTAATTTGATGAATAATTTATAAACTATTTTTGATCCTGAATATTTTTTAGAACATGAGCGTCGAGATAAAAAGCAGTGTTACTGCCACAATTGTCAGAAGAAACGAAGTCGTTTGCAAGCACGAGAACCATGGAGGAGAGCCAAACAAAGGCTGATGTAAGCATCTATTTAGCAGATATTGTTCTATGTTCACTTTCTGTGTATAAATGTATTACTTAAAATGTACATGTGTATGTATTTATTTTCTATAGAAGTCCTGCAATACCGTTTTGACCATTTGTTCATTTATGTTTTGAATTGTGTGTATCACTTGTGCATCTTATCAGAACATAATTTAATTTTTCATACACTGTTTTTTTTTGTAAGTATTGCACTATATTATTAATTCTACAAATACAAATTTAAATATACAAAGACAAATATATGCTATTAAACAAATATAAAGATACTAGTTGATTTGTAGCTGACATGTGCGTAAATACCATTACAGTAAACTTGAGATTTCTACTAATTTTATATATATTTATATATACATAAGTTTATATGTGCTTGATAACAAAACTAGGTATTTAAATACATTTTATACTTTCAGAAAGTTTCTCTTGATCTTGGGGTGGATAGCCCTATTAGCTACAGCTTACAAGGTGGCTAACTTGCAACATGATTATGTTGCATGGGATCCTTTTGAAATTCTTCAGATTGATCCAGTAAGTCATTTATTTATTTTGACTATCAGTTATTCTTTTCTTCTCGGTTTAGTTGTTATATAGTCACAAAGAAAGTAGTATAGATTTACAACCTCTTACCCAACAGTCATGCATATATACTAAACTTTTTTTTTATCTTTCTATAATGGAAGGATATTTTTATTGATTTATATACAATTAGTTGGTCATAGCTACAGCTTTCAATGAGACTTCATTGAAAAGATAATTTTTACTATATTTCTTACCATAAGTCAAATATAATAAATGTTGTAAAGTTCTGTTGTGGCTCCAATTTCAATCAGCAGTGCTAAAGTCATGACTCTTCCAGCAGAATACCAGTTTCAAATCTTCACATTAGAGTTCTAACTCTCTCACTCGTAGAATGGTTATTACTTTGTAGAGAACATAATAAACGAGGAATATTTTCAAATCACTTAAACGTTGTTTTGGAATCATACAGCAAAAGTTTATTTCATAATTGTAAAATATCAAATGCTAAGCCTAACTTACCAGTTCTGTATGAGTATTGGCTTTGCTTTTCCCATTCGTATTTTAAACAAACCACATTGTTTTTGTCATCTTTAATAGTTAATAGATTTATTTAATAACAGTTTAATTCAGAGTAACATTTTTTAATATTGGAAGACTTTTATCTCATTTTATTGTTGGTTAAAATAATTAGCATAAAGTTATCATTGGATTTAATTTGCATGTTTTATAATTTTTAGAACCTTTTTGTAAAAATTAAGTACGTAATGATATTATAAAAACTAGAGGTGACAAAAACATCTTGAGTGCTTTACAAAGTCCAAAACCAAAACAATTAATATGTAACTCAGTGAATTACATCTACCAAATTGTTGGTTCTGAAACATACTTACCTTCTCTCACACTATAGCTTTATCCTGACAAAAGTTTTTGTTCTTTGCCCCTCTAAGCATTGGTAGGAATCTTACCTCACTTGCTCCAGCCTTTATACCCCACTATATTGCCCAAAGTAAGTTAAATCTTGTGATTCTATTCACCTATGTCAATGCACCTCATATCCGAGATACATATATAAGCTCCCTGTTATTACTTCCTTTTCACTTTTTGAGATGGACCAATTAGCAGACCCAAAACTGGCCATTTCATGGGGAGGAAGGGCAGGAGAGTGTAACAGGAAGTAAGCATTATCAGAAATACATTTTCAGTAAAGGAAAATATTAAATTGCAAAACACACTCACCTCCAGATGAGGGAAAAACCCACACAGAAAGTGTCTGCATAAAAAAAAAGGGGTGTGAAAATGAGATACAGTAATAACACACCAGTGGGATCCATACAACTTTTGGAACAGGTATGTTCTTTGCCCAGACAACATAAAATCTAATTCCTATGCCCAGTCATTAAAACAAAACTATATAACATTGAATATCATCTAGTGTATTTATGATTTGTTTTTTAATAACATTCTTCCTTATACAAAACAGACTAAGTGGGAAGAGTTTTCTTTTTCATTAACTATTTATTATAAAGCATCAAATTTATTTGAGTAAGATTTCACGTGTATGCTTTTTTATTTACCAGCTAATGAATTATGTCATAAGAAAATACAGTGTAAAATACCTAATACTTTGATTAAAAAAATCAGGTTTTTTTTTTCAGCCTAAATACAAGTATTAAACTTTTTACTAAGGGAAGTCTGATTGCCATTTCAGTAAAATACAGGATGTTTAATTATTAAATGATGCTTTGTTAATTATTTCTTTTAATATTATTGAAATGCCATATACACATACAAGATATGATTCAAAAGAGTGTAATGCCTTTATTATCATTACTTTAATGCATTCACTGATTACAACAATCTACAGTTTCAATTTTTTCAAAGATTTTAAGGCAAACAACATTGCAGGTTGATTCCATAGGTTCTGAAGTGTTATGAGCTAGCTCTTGTACATTATTTACTTAAAATAATATCATATTAAAAAAGTGTTAACAAAATGACTATTGAGAGCAGTGCACTCCTCACCCCTTCCTCAACTTTCCCAGTAGTTGATCCGGCCAGTTATAAGCATTGATCCTATTATGGGGTTAGGCCCAGTCTAGCTGAATCCATAACTCCAGCTGTTCATGAAGGTGGTTCATTATTCACATTGAGAATATATTGAGATGCACCACAAATGTGATGTTTTCATCAAAGAAGTATGAGAATAGAATATGAATTCCAAGAACACCACCTGTCACTATTACGCTGGCACTGGCCTGATCCTACCATTAGAGCTGGGTGATAAGTGGTATTTGTTAATGAATTACATTCAAGTAATTGGTTAGTATGGTGTTCACCAAGTGACTTCCATAAAAAGCTAAACAACAAAGTTGGCAGTGAATGCTACTAGCAAGTTCCATTCCCTCCAGTTAGGAAGTTCAAGAAGAAAAAATAAACAATTTATGACAATTGATATAACTGGAATTTTGGATAATTGATGGTTGGATTAATCGGAAATATTAATTGAGATTAGTTATTTATTTTCATTACAATCACTTTAATTGTAATTTAGATTAGGTCAATTTAATCATAATTTGGATTTATTTGTTTGCATGACACTAATCAGTGTAATCACTGCTCATAGGTAATTGATTATGTTGATTAATTGATTAAATTCCCCTGCTCTGTTCACCATGTTGATATCTATTGTAGGCTGTGATTACTTCAGTAATATTTTAAAATCTCACTGAGGTAGAATTTAGCATCATCACTCCACATTATGGTAGGAATAATTTTCTCCATTGTCCAATATCATTTACACCACTGTAAGCACTTGTCAAGATCATCATACCTAAGCTTTTGGTAAAACTGCAGCTTGTAGGTATGAAACATTTTTCCTTGTTTGAAAGGTACCAAATTGAAGACCGGTTAATGTCAATTTTTCATGCAATGCTGCATCTGGAAAAATCTGAGAATTTCTTGTCAGCAACACTACCAATTTCTCATAGTCCTTCACAGTGTGATGTAGCTGTGGACAATATGGATGTTCTCTGTGGAATGCCATGGTAATATTCTAGGTATTTTCATTACAGGAATATCAGTTTTATATTCTTATCTATGGAAACAAGTCAATCAGTATTCTTTTCATTTGTAAGTGAGCAAACATGATAAATTTATGCAGGTGGAGCACTCCTTTTTGAATCATATTGTGTGTTTGTATCTTTATTTACATGTGTGAAAGTATTTTCATATTTAAAACTAGTATTTCTTGTTAAAATGTTTATATCTTTAAAAAATTTTGTTTCCTTTTAACAAGTTATAAGTATGTTAGTATATTCTATGAAAACTTTGATTTATTTTTATTAATTTTGTGTGTGGTATAACATTTTTTTTTAAAAAACTCAGTTTTTATGTTTTGCCACTTTGATAATATTTTACTCTTAAGTGATTTCAGTGATTTTGCATATGTACATTGCAGTGACCTTTCCTGGGGAGAATTATGCCCCATACACACATATATCACCTCAGTATCCTACTAACTGAATAAATAGCAATATGAAATATGTTAATATTAGTTTTTGAGTTTCAAGATTTCAATTAATTATTTTCAGGCTTCTTCCACAGCAGAGATTAAGAAAGCCTATAGAAAGTTAAGTTTAAAGTTTCACCCAGATAAGGAGGGAGGAGACGAGAAAAAGTTCATGATGATTGCCAAAGCTTATGCAGCGTAAGTTTTAACGATTCATTATAGGTTTATCTTATCATTGGTTGAATTTACATTACAATGTTTGCTTACTGAAACTCAAAAGTAGGGGTACAATGCAGCTGAAAAACCAGAGAAAATATAATATTTGTCATTAATAAGTTTACTTTATCAGCTCTAATATGAAATCACTACAAAGTACTGGAGTAAAAACATATTGTTGTTGACCTTCCATATGATGTTCTTATCTTTATGTTTTTATCTGCTATTTACATGTGTAAATTAATGAACAAAAATAATTTTTCTCAGTCTTCAGAAGTGTATGTTTTGTGACCAATACTTTTATACTTACCAGGATTCACATGACTGGGCAAAATACCTCTAGACTTTTCCTACAAAATTCAGGTTTCACTTTTTATTTTCACCTGCAGTGAAATTTGAGTCATCTTCATCTTTCAGTTCAGTCAGTCACTTGCCATACCAAAAGTGACAAGTAGTATCATCACATAGCTGGTTTCCAAACTCTCTATACAAGTCAGTCAAATCACTGAGACACTGTGCTTATCCACATGTTCCCAACTCTGCATGTATAATATAGGCATAAGCCAATCAGAATGCTTGATCTGATTTCCTTACCAAGAGTGTCATTACCAGTCATGCATTTAGTGAAAGTTTGTGTCAAAAAAGTTGAGTGTATATTGTATTGATAGACATAATTATTATCAGTGGATTATGGAAGAGTGGTAGTGATGATGGGGAAGGTCTTTGTTTTTTTGTGTGTGTGTGGGGCACTAAGTTTGTAGTTTTTATTTACATGAGGTAATTGACAGGAAAACACACACACATATTATGACACCAGATGTTCAAGCCGTGTAAGGTAAATTGCCTATTTCTTTGCATTTATATATATTTTCCTAATCTGTTTTTGTGCAATTCCAAATATTTTAAATTGTTTGTATTTGTATAAACACATACACATATGTATGTATTATAAATAAGGAACTTTTTTTTTTTATCAAGCAGTGTTCATACATTGGGAATATGTTTGTAGTCTCCATATTTTCAACAACTTCTCCCTATTGCTACCCGGAGAGAGAAGTGACTTCCTGTTTTGGGAGTTTGTATGACTCCTGACTTACATAGAGATGATTATAAATAAAACAGATATTTCAAAAGCATTTGGATCTTGGTATTTCCTACACACAACAACCTGCTTGTTTTTTTTCTTTAATAGGTTGAATGGTATTCAGAAATATTGGTTTTAGTCTTAATTCTTAAGAAGAGAAAAATATTCACTATATCTACAATCTTTGTCTTTATTAGAAGTTTTATGATTTCTGTTCTATTTTCAATGTCAATTTGTATGGGTATTGCCTTAAAATTGTTTGCTCATTCTAGTAAAATTAAATGCTAATTAGAAGGAGAGGAGCATCTGTTGTAATAGCATTTGTGCTGTCTTATCAGTCTAATGCCATCTTTACCAAAAAACAATAATGATAATTTTGAAATTTTTTATTTGAAAAGTGTACAAGTATGATTCTGTCATAATTTATGACTAAGATTATATGATTTTCATGATACATTTACTATTAAGGATATTAAATATTACTTTACTTAAATTCCAAGTAGAACAAAGCTTTTAAGTTAAGAAATGAAGATCTGTTTTACACTTTGTTTTGATTTTTAACAGGTTAACTGATGATGAGGCCAGGAAGAATTGGGAAATGTATGGTAATCCAGATGGTCCTGGTGGTAAGTTAAATTTGATTTATTTTTGCATTTACCTGTAATGAATTATTGAACATAAAGTATATTATCTTTTTTTTTTTGCCATTTTCTTTTTAATGTGAAGAATACATTTATTACAAATAACTTGTTGATTAACCACAAAATTTCAAGAAATTTCACTAGTAATAACGATATGGGTACAAAAAACAAGTAAACTTTAATTCTTTCTTACCCAGATGGGCACATCCATCCTCAAAGGAAACATTGCACCATTGGATTTAAAACATTTTAGAAAATAAAATTATAGTCGGTCTTCCACACATTTAAAAAAGCAAACTTTGGAGTTGAAATTTATTCAATAAAAAAGTTTTATTCATTTAAGTTTATACATATAAATTACTAATTATGATATTGGATCGATTTTAGTGGAATTTGAACATAAGTATTACTGTTTGAGAAGTCATAGGCTAATCATCTAAACATGTAATGAAAATGCTCTTTTTTATGTTTTTTCCACTGGAAAAAACATTATGGCTTTTATTTAAATATAGATCCATGTGGAGATTGGTACTAAGTGATAAAAGCTTAGCTTGGTGATCTCGTGCTAGAAGAAAGCATATTTAGGAATAACTTCTGCTGTAATTAAAGTTTTACTTTTTAAAAAGTTAGCTTTATCATTTTCTACTTCATTTAAAGTATGATGTTGCAGTATTTTAGGATAAGAAAATACACAGAAAAGAAATGTAAAAAAACAATGTATATATATATATATAAATCAGTGTAAAAGGATTATAAAACTTGTATATATTAAATGAAATCTGATTAACAATTTAAAAAATGGCTTGTTTATAATCTAAGATTGTTAAAAAAAAGTATTTTTATTGTATACTAATGATAGTTACCACTTTATACTGTGTCGAGTATTATTTGAATCAAAACAAAGAGAAAATTTATAATTTTATAAAATAAAATCTTTATGAAAAAATTTATGGGGATGTAGGAGGATGTAAAGATCAGTAACTAAAATCTTAAGCAAAGGTAAGAATATTCAATAATTTCTTGAGAATGATGTATCACAATGAAATCTTTTTGAATTTTTAAAGCTGCAAATTCATAAAAATATCATGTATTAAAAATGGATAGTTTTATGCACAGAAACTGTATAATTGAAAAATTTCATGTGAAATTTCAAACTATTTCATCCAGTAGTTTTTACAATGCAATAAAATAAACCGCATAACAGATGTGTTGAATTGAGGCACATTGCCGTTTGAGAATTAAGTGGCCCAAATGCACGAACATAAAGATTTATTATTAGAGGTTAACTGCATTTTTCAAAATTCATAACATTTTTTAACAAATACATTGTCTAACACACCTTTTTAAATGCACATCCTGACGGTGTATTCTGTTGCTATGATAAATCTTTGAAAATATCTAGACTTCAAAATAATACTACGATAATTTTTCACTATTCAATGCATATCTACATGTTTCATTTTAAAGATTATTCTCTTTCCTCATTGAAAGATTGACCATTTCAAAACAAGATTTCTACCATAATTGAAAAAAAAGTTCTTACCTTGTATTGCAAAATGACCCAAAACTTTTTTTATTATTTATCAAGTAGAAGATCGATACATGAACAGTGCGTACCTATTTCACTATATGATTGAAGCACAAGGCTAAGTAAGACATGTTCAAAATCAAGCTTTGAAGTTCTCTAGTCCAATTCACTGTGCCACCAAACTTACTCACCCTTTTTTCTTATGGAAGTTACTGTTGGCCAGAGTAAAAGAATCTGTCTGGCAGCACCTGCTGCCAACTTTTCCTTAAACTTATGGCTAGAACAACTGCTGCCAACCTTTTTATTTTGAACTGCTAGTTGGGAAGATGAATTTTAAACTCCACTTTATTTGCCACTGCATTAGATTGAAATTACTAACAGCTGTGTAATTGTATGTTTTATGTACTTATTTTAGACTATGTTGAAGAAGAGCATTAATGTTTTGTTAATTACTGGTTTCTTTATGAGAAAAATTGTAATGTTAATAACTTGACTATACCTGAAAAAAAAATAGTAAGGTAGCACATTTACAAAAGAACAAACTTTGAATTGAACATACTTGTTTGTATTGGGTGATCCTTACATCATTGTGTTTGCCACAGTTTGGAATTCTCAATTTAATTGCTTCAAGATAATATAATGTGAACTTCAAAGCAAAGTTGGATGTATAAATACTTATTCATGAAATCTTACGTTTTTTTGATAACTAAAAATTACTAGTAATAGAGAAAACACAACATTTCAATATCAATGTCATGGGTCTAAAATCTGTATGCTTTATTCAGTTTTATAATTGCATTTGGTTAATGTCCAAATTTGTTTTTTATAGTGTAGTGTATTAAGCTTCAGTTCTGTTTCTTTCTAGCTACTTCATTTGGAATAGCTTTACCATCATGGATTGTAGAAAAAGAGAATTCTATCTGGGTAGGTAAATATGCAAGACAAAAGTTATAGTTATACAGTATGTAGAAACAGGAAATTTCAGTAAATGCTTAAAATCTTACTGTTTATGAAACGTTATATCATACAACACAAGGAAGGGGTTATTTCATGTGTTATGAAATGACTGTTAAAATCTCTAGTAGTAGTATTATATATAAATATGTGTGTGTGTGTTGAGAGAGAGAGAGAGAGAGAGAACACTAATAAAAGTTCATCATTGAGAAATATTTATTAAATATTGTTTTATGTTTGTGTTCTACATTTTAGAACTGTGTATACAAATATTCAATGTATATTTCTATTCAAGGTTTTAGAACTGTGTATGCAAGTATTCAATGTATATTTCTATTCAAGGTTTTAGAACTGTGTATGCAAGTATTCAGTGCATATTTGTTTCCCAAATTTTAGAAGTATGTATACAATGTTTCAATCTTGGATTACTGTATGGTAAGAATATGTAAAAAACAAAAAATTACAATTCTGCAATTTTAAAGATATATATTATAAAAAAAAAACAGACATCAAATATTAACTTATATACAATAATTTACAATTGGTTACAATACAAAAAAGATCACTCTATCTTGGTAGATCCACGTAGGAACTGTATCTCCATTCAATGAATTCACTTCAAAATGTAGTATGTCAAAATTTAGCTTCAGGTTATAAATTCAAAGTTCTAATTCACGCTAGATGTATGGTTACAAAAAGTTCACTGTTCTAATGTCAGCAGCACCAAAACTTGTCAACATTTTCAAAAAGGTTTTCAACAGTTCTCAAAAAACACAAGGCTAACAAAAGTTAAGACTAATTCTTAAACTTACAAAACTCTTTGGAGTCGTAAACAAAAAGCTAATGATAGCTTATAACAAAAACCTACAATTGATATCTAGGTTCAAATACTCTCAAGTTCGATACCAAAATCTTTGTCTGAAATGGCCACTCAAACTAAACTAAACCAAACTTCTCAAAACATTCCTCTCTTCTCACTAACAGAAACTTAACTTTTTTATATAAAACCCCAAAAAAACCTTTGTAAAGAGCACATGTGCTTACAATTTTTAGTTACATGTGTTTGATCAGGCAATTCACCTGTAGTGCCTCACAAGTAAGTTTTACAAAAATACAGCATTATAACAACAAGTATATAGTCCATATTTTTTTTCCCACGATTTAGTACTACATGTAAAAATGTTTATTCTATATTTGTTTTCCAATTTTTAATGTAGGGATTACTGTTGTATTTTTTATATTTGTTCCCCAGGATTTTGAATTGTTTGTATTAATTCTGTGTATTTTTTGTTTTTAAGATGTTTGAGTTAATATTCTGCTTCTGCATTTCTAACATAATTTGAACTGATTTCTTTAATCTTGTTTTTTTTTATCAATCTTTTGATTATGTGTATGTACTGATGATTTTTTCAGGTTTTAGGACTGTATGCTTTGGTATTTATGGTGGCCCTTCCTGTCTCAGTGGTAAGATAATTGCTTTTCATCTTCAATAGAAATATTATATTGTATTTCCAAACAACAAAAGGACTTTCATACTAATGTGTTGTCATTTTATACTGCCAGCTAGATTTACAGCAGTGAGCTCTACTGTTTCTCTGAATGTTTTTTGTGATTAGTATTTGATGTTTTCACGATATTAGTGTCCAAATTTATATCTGTAATAGTATAACTAATGGAGTGACTACAATGAAAATGTATGGCTAAACTGCATGGATACTGAAGTGATACACTTATACAGAAAAGAGTCGGATAATATGTATTGTGTTTTGTCAGTGACATACATTTTGAATAACAGTTATAACTTGTTCATTTTACATTAAGATTTTCATCTTGTTGCATGTTCATGCATTATATTCATAAAGTACTTTGCACATCCCATCATGGAGCTTTGATCATTTTTCATATAACTATTGTAATCTAATTTTTGTATTTGTTACATTCAACACTATATTATGTTCTACAGATAAAACAATATAAACAAAGCACTGTGCAGTATTTCATAGTAATACCTTCTGACCTTGTTACTGTAGAAATGACATAACAGTGAATAATTGAGAGAGTTTGGTTGTATTTTCACTTCAACTTTCATTCATTATTCTAACAAAAGCAACTGTATTAAGGAAATTGATTACTTTGTAAAATAAATTATAAACTGATTGATACAGTAATTGACCAGTAGAACTACAGTGCTTCTTTAAATACTCTTTATTATGAGAAAAAAACGTGATGATTTATAAGTGGAAGAGAAACAATTAAAAACTCAACTGTATAGTTATATTCTAAACTTGCAGCTGATTGTACACAGCATGGTCACAAGTAAATAGACACCACCTTTTCAGAAAAAATTAAA